TGTAGCCTTGGCCTGTCGCCCAAGGAAGACAAGCCAGATACCCCCACTCGACAAACCTACGCTCACAAGGAACTGCAGAACAAACATTTACTACGCAACCAAAAGACGATGACAGTGATATGTTCAAATGTCCAAGAACCCACTAGCCAATCACTAAAAGGTAGACAAGCGGAGGAGCAAAACCGGTGGGCTGAAATAACCTGCGCACTCGGACTGAAGGTTCTCCCAACTAGTCTTACACGCCTTTCACGAAATACATAATCTCCACACTTAGGGGAACCTCGGTTACTGCGAGTAACGTTTGGCAACACGCGCGACCTGGAAGATGTTCTCTTAGCAAGCCATATGCTAGTGAACTCTTCTGTCAGTGCCCGCATTTTTCTTGACAGGCCATGGGTAGAAAGACAGAAGCGGAAATCCAACCCTGATTCGTTGCATCAAAATTAGATGAAGAAAGTGGTACTGGTTCATGGTGTGCCAGAATTGAAGCATGACGATAGCAGTGCACGACAGAAGCACGACATCGAAGAATGGCGGTACATCGCAGAACTATACGACATGAAGAATGTCGTGGTGTTTGACGTCACCCGTCTAATTGCTTCCACATACTACCAAGGTAGCGGGCTACGAATTACGAAAGTTACCTTGGCTGCGCCCGAAATGGTATCAGTGGCAATCCAAGCATGGCATGACAACAGGAAACTTGGGCCACCAGAAGTACGGTTAAGACCATTCCTTCAATTAGTATAGACCTCAGATACAGATGAGCAAGCCTCAATTGTACCTATCTCAAACCAGCCAACTATGTAAACACCAGTTGCAAAAGCCTTCAGCAGACCGGCACTATTTGTGCCGGTCACTCACAGCGAACCGAGCTCCTGATGCGTCAACAAATACAATGCTGCTACACCAACACTCAGGGGTTGTATTCTAAGCTCTCGGAGCTGCGCCACCGACATGAAACAACAGCTTGGGACCTCATAGCAGTTACTGAAACTTGGCTCTCAAACGACATACTTGATCCAGAGATTGAACTCAGTGAGATGTCAGTCATTCGAAATGATCGTCCATCTCGCGGGAGCGGTGTTGCTCTCTACTATCGAGATTATTTGAAATGTGAGGCTCTTACCGAAAATTCCCTTGTTATTCCCGACGCACTATTTTGCCGACTGCACCTAGCAGGTCGAGATGTTGGTTCACAGAAGAAGAGTGATGCTTACCTCTTAACAGTTATCTCTAGACCTCCGAACTCATCAGCAGACAGCGATAACATTCTGTTAAACGCCCTCCGCTATGCTGTTTCACAAAAGTACTCTCACTATCTTATAATGGGTGACTTTAATATGCCTTCAATAGCATCAATATCCCGTAATGGGCTATAATTTAAATTGAAACTCCTCGAATTCATGGATATGGCAGTTTTGTATAACTATGTGCATGGACCAACCAAACATCGCGGTTCAAACAAGCCATCACTCCTAGACTTAATCCTGACTAATGAAGGGTTGATGCATGAGTCAGTAGCACACCATCATTCCCTGGGCCGTAGCGACCATTCAGTCCTAGCCTTTGGTTATGTATGTTATGCCAGTATTGTTGCTAAAGAAAGAGAGACTCAGCGAACTATTACGGACTATTATAAGCTGCGCAGCTTAGCAGCAACCGTTGACTGGTACCTACAGAAGCACAGCTCAGCGAATGACGCGTGGAATGAACTGAAAGACAAAATTAACTGGGTCATGCAATCAGCATCGAAGGTTGTACCCTTACGAGCATCGCGCAGGAGCAATACGTGGATACTGAGCGGAACATGTAAATGGATCAACAGAAGAGATGAAATCTGGAGGCAACATTTGCTAAGCACATATCACATGGCAGGATTACAAAGTCATCAGAAACTACTGCATGTCACCCACTAGAGTAGGTAAGTACGAATGGCAGGAGAATATGTTGCTGAAATTTACCAGTAACACAAAACTACTATACAGATTTGTGAATGGCAAAAGAGAGGTTAAGCCCGGAATACCACCACTCAGGACGGCCAGTGGCCTAACAACTACTGCTGTGGATGCCGCGAACGCTCTACTCTTACAGTTTGGCTCGGTAGCTACAAATGTCATGGAACCTTCGTCCTATCAACTCCCAATCAATGTCGTTGGCTTATCCAGTATCACTTTTACTCCAGCAGCTGTTGCAAGCAAACTACAGTCTCTCCGAGGGTACCGTGCTCCTGGAATCGACATAATCTGCCCAAAAGTACTAAAATCCCTTGCTCCCACCATAGCAGCACCACTTGCAACCTTTTTCCAGTGTCTGCTTAACTCCCATACACTCCCATCTGAGTGGAAAAATGGAATTATCACTCCAAGATACAAAGGAGGTAAGCGCTCTGATCCTGCTAACTACCGACGTATTAGTCTCCTTCCAGTTTTATAAAAAGTGATGAATCGGTAATCGCAGCTGAACTGACGCGATACTTTGAAAGATAACAGATAATTTTTAATGCCCAACATGGTTTCCGACGCAGACGATCTTGTCTCACCAATTTGCTAATTACTCGGGACTTATGGACCAGGGCGGCTGATGAAGGAGTGCCCATCGATGTGATATACCTGGATTTTTCTAAAGCATTCGATAGGGTCAATCACTTCTTTCTCCTCCAAAAGATTGCTGCCTACGGTATCAACGGTTACCTGCTCACCTGGTTAAAAGGCTACTTACACGACAGAGCAATAAAGGTAAGAGTAGCCGACACTTATTCGGAATGCCTTTGCGTCTCCAGTGGTGTACCACAAGGATCCGTCCTCGGCCCGCTGCTGCTTTTAATCTACGTTAGTGAGCTTCCAGCAGACATTCTATCTCCGGTGCAAATATTTGCAGACGATGCTAAAATATGGAGAGCAATTCGCCTAGCATCCGACCGTGTCTACCTCCAGGAAGATCTGACTCGGATTAACGAATGGGCAGAAAAAAACCAGCTCCCACTGAACCCTGCAAATTGCCACCTGCTGACGGTGCGCAGCAGCTTCGTCAACACATACCTTTTGGGGCAACACGTCATGCAACACGTGACTAGTGAACGCGACTTAGGTATAATCGTGCAAAAGAGTCTTGGAAATTCGCTCCAATGTTCGAAAGCAGCAAGTGTGGCGAACATGAACTTGAGACTTTTGAGGCGAGCTCTCGGTACTTTTGAGCGACGTCTAGTACCATTGTTGATTAACTCCTACATTCGTCCTCATGTTGAATATGCAATTCAGGCCTGGTGTCCATGGTTAAAATGAGACATCCGCCTATTGGAACAGCCCCAAAGAAGAGCCACAAAGGCAACGCGTGGACTATCCGGTATAAGTTACGAACTGCGTGTTCATGTACTTTGTGTTATCATTAGAATACCGATGGCTTCGCGCAGATCTTACTCTCACATACCGGATACTAACCGAAAGCGAACATCCATGTACATCACTGTTGACTTCAGCCCCTTACAAACAAAACCGAGGCCACCACCTGAAACTAATGACGCAACACTCTCGTTTGAATTGTAGAAAGTATTTTTTCCCACTTAGAATCTGTTCTCACTGGAATACATTACCAAACTATGTGGTGAAGGCACCGGACATGACGACATTCGAAAGACACTTAGAGTTTATCTTAGTGATAACCGTTACACCACAGTTTGATAAAGTGCAATGGTTTAACCACTGATACTTTACGTTCCACGTTGGAACGTTTTGATTTTAATTTTCTGTTGCATATCCATCCTGTGGGGCTTGTAAAGTTATGCTTTTTATCCCATCATATGCCATTGAACCAGTGAATCATTGAAGCGCTCCACTGTTTAGACGTCCGTGATTACCCTCTTTTTAATGTGTGCATAAGCTTGATCTTACATAGGGTACACTGACTATCCAGTATGCAAGAGATCAGCCCCTGCTCCGCTCAGGCTGCTTCCAAACATTGTTCTCACATATCGCACGGGATTTTGGCATGCGGTTGCATGTGTATTACTGAGGAGAAACGCGATAACCGCAAATGCATTTTGCTGCTCCTTCGCTCATATACAAATCACTGCTTTGTGTGCCCACTTCCTCCAGTGTATGATGACATCAACAAGCCTTGACAAGGAACGCTTAAGCAGTGCGCCATTCTAGAATGGCTTAAATTTATAAAATGCACATTCACAGCACATGATTCAGTGGGATTAGCGAGAAACTCCTTAGTCCAAAGAAAGGAAAACAAGGACAACAAGACCTGTGTGCGCACCAAATTAGGAATTACTTTACCATATTTGTTTTCAACCGGGGCCCTAATAGCAACACCACAACCCTACTTATTCTAGACAGCTGTAAATCAAACACAGGAACTGATTGAATTGTGAGGTAGGCAACTATTCTAGAGACCGTACGACCTCATGAAATTAGGAAATAAAAGCATGGACTTAAATGTGGTTTGCGTGAATTCGGTAGCACCAGCGAAAAGGGATGTGCTAACTTCAGAAACGTGCCAGAGTGGACAGAGGACACAAACAATCGCCACAACCTTTCAACCTGCTAACGGATCAGTTAGTTTAGGTGCACTATTTCGACCACAGTATTGTCAAATATTAAGGCAGTAAGGAATAGGGAGAATGTGCTGCTCCATAGTGTTCGCTCGCATAGTTCGAACCGTATTACGCTTACAAGTTTTTCAGTTAATTCAACTACCTGGGAGTCAGTGGAACTTGGACGTCTACGCATTCTCAGATACAAGTTCAGAAGAAACGTTTCCCATTATTCTGATAAGTTTGCACTGCCGAGATACACACCCAGTGCCACCTCACCGAACCAATGTTCTGTCACAAATCGTGGCTGAGTCGCTTGTCCCCTAGTCATGTGCTGCAATTGGCCACTTTTGAAGTTAATGCGGGGGAGGAAGTGAACGATTGGTGATACGGCCGCTGGCTTTGAGCTTCGTGACTTAAAATATATATAAATATATAGGGGTACGTGCCGTTGCGTTGTGGTAGATCTACATTATGTGCGGTGAGTTGCAACTCTGCTCTAGTTTCTCATATTGTTTACCTGCTGCTGCTTTGTCCTGCCCGCTCATTGTCGCTTTTTAGTGATGCATGAGGTTGTGTTGTCTTGGCGTTTCTGTCCTCAGCACAACAGCTACCAGCTTGTTTTACCTGAAAGCTAGACATGCTAGCAGTTTGTTAGGGAGCAAAGAGAACGCACGCTTAGGAATTTGCATCACACGCCGTCCCTTTGTTTAAATATTTGTAATTATCGCTATTCTTAATACCACAGCTGCTTCTAATCACGCGACAGTGTACGTGGATGGATGCTATAAAGAAAACGGCCAAGCGGGTTGCGGCGTGTTTTGGGGCAAGGATGACAAGAGGTAACTCTGCTTTTCTTTTACTGCAATCCAACCCATGTGTAGGAATCAGGCTATCAAACTTCAAATGCCTCAGACAAATCACACAGCTGAGATAGCGGTATGTTAACGTCCACATTGAATGTATACATCTAACTTGCATATGGGGTACTCTGTGAGTACTTTGGGTGCCCCTATTGGGGCTACTTATTTCTTTTCCATTATTCTACCTTTTTCTACTACTGGTATCAGCGGTTTCAGAATTACCGAGTGGAAATGTCATTATTTTCCAGGGTGCCGTGGAAGCAATGAAACAAGCATTAGATTCCGGGATCAACTACTTAACCATCGTCACGGACTCTGATGCAACAATTGAGTATTGGACCGGAGATCGGGACGTACCGAAAGAAGGAGACGAACCCCTTCGGCATTGGGTTACGAAGATGCGAGCTTTTAAGCAAAAACCGTTAAGTGTGACTTGGGTGAGTGCCTTCTATTTCTTTCGTTAGTTTGCTGTTTGCCTTAGCGTTTTCACCACGAAGGCGGAGTTAATTAGTCTCAAAAGATTGGTCAGAGTAATACGGTTAATTTGGCGTTTTCGAGACTTTTCGTTGCCTTCAGCCTCAAAAACCACACACCCGCCGAATATCTAAACGGTTTTACCATCCTATTTGGAATCCTCATGAGCGCGCATTCCTCGAATCCTTCACGAGCAGAGCGACTTAAACAGCTCATCACTGGGTGACAGCAGTGAAGCACCAAAAGACGCTGCCCGACTTAGTTACGACCATGTTCAATAGGTATTATTGCTTATCGATCCGGTGATCACCCATTTCTCCTTTTTTCGTTTAACACCATCTATAGTCGCAGCGTATTCATCCCTTTGACAGTTTGAAAACTGCGAAAGGCAATCTTCAACCTGATTTATTCTTACAGCCCGTCAGCAGTGTTTTGTTGTACCTCTAAATAAATTTCATCTAAGAAGGATATTTTGCTCGACACCTGCTTTGGTCTTGATTTTGCTCATTAATAAGCTGTAATCGCGTTAGCTTTTATGGCACATCGACTATTGAGACCCGTCCCGACGTTAAAGCAGCAGCAAGTTGCATGACAGTGGATAATGAGCCCCGCCAGATCACAGCAAGTAATCATCCATGGCAATCCACCGGTCTCTTCCATGGTTCAGTCGAATAAGCAGCTGACTCGTAATAGTAAAGTGACTTGTTCGGATCCAGCCCAGCCTACTAGGATGACATTTGCTTGCGGCGCTTTTCTGGTCGTCTAACCGGATTTACTTTCGTACTCAAGTGCTGACAACGGTACGCGCTAATTGGAAACTGCACAACGATTGGTAAACTCTGGAACTGATTGACTGCGCTTTTATCTTCGTCTGCATGTGATCCCATTCGAAGTTACAAATTTCCTGATTGGTCGTAGGGATAATCAGAGCGACTTATTTGTGGCATTTCCGGGTGATGTTCCGGCCCATAAGCATGCGGGTTGTAAGCGACGGTACCTAAGGAAGCACTGGTTATACGTGCGCCGCTTCGGGTACGCTCTGGAGCCTAATTTGTCCGGAAAGAAGTAATAATTAATAAAAAATATCGCCACTTGTACACTTTAACAGCGCTTTGTTGCCGCATCACCACCACCACCCGTCGTGCCTTGGCTGAATATACCGCGAGGACGCGCGGGTTCGAACCGGTGAGCTTATGATTGCAAGCCAGGCGTGCAGGTAACTCGGTCACCGGGCGATCAGGAGAAAATATTACGTATTTCGATTCCAACTACAAGTAGCAAGCTTCGAGTTAGTGCGGAATTGTGAGCAATGCAAATTCGAGGGTATCTTTCCATTGTAATGGGATGAACGGCGGTGACTAATTTATCCGGTAGCCTTGGGTATGATGTGCATCCTTTCGATGCTGCCATGTGCCTTAGTAAGATCTCATTCTATATACGTGTGCAGGGACTTCATGAGCATATGTTAGGTTCTCTTTTGTACCCCACTCATGTTTCAAACTTTGCAGGGTCGAGTTGAGGGTCATTCGGGCCACGAAGGAAACGAACAGGCTAATCGGTTGGCCAGAAAAGGAGCTGGCTTGGCATAGAGTTTGTAACTTGTATCGATACAATTTAATAAAATTTTTATCTCTGCTTACAGCTTCACTCGTTCTTCCTGCACTTGTTTTGCGCCCACTGTGTTACTGCAGCACATCAAATCCCTTCCCATCCAGTTGACTGAGGGTTCCGGTGAGCATGTGCAACACTGCGCAGTCAAGCGAGATTATAAACTCGTTACTTCCTTGAGGCTGATATTGGCACTGGTTACATTCGGGTGCGACACCTGTCGAATTTGGTTGAAAGCAGACTAGGATCGGTACTCGGTCGTTCTACGGAAAATTCAGTGAAACTTGTGCGTGCCTGCTACTTTTCTGTAAGACGAATTAACCGAGTAGATGTGCGATGCAGTGCGCTCCCAGTACCTGCAATGGGGTCCCGTCGCCTGCGCACTACATCTGCTATGAACACCGGACGGAGCACTTCACTTATCGGTCAAGTCTTTGTGATGTGATAATGTCAACCGGGTGGGGTAATTGCTTTGATGACATGGTCAAATAGCATGATCTTACCTTACTCCGGTATAAATCGGATGCTGTCAATATAGTCCTATGAGACCTAGTGTCGGAACAGACCAACAGTGCTATCTAATAATTAGTAGTAATTCGTTCATTTTTGGCTGGTGTGTGTGGCACCGAGAAATAATTTGGGTACTGAGTGTAGGCAGAAAAAGTACCATGCCAAATCGCAAGATCCATATCTGGATTTCGCTGGTGGTCCATATGTTTTGGTTGTCCCTGCGTTAGAGAGGAAAGTATCCATTCGGTTCGTCCCATGATGGGTTCGCCGGCGAAGGTCTTGGAAATCCAATTTGTTAGTAGACAGAATACCTCGACTAAGATTGGGAAACGATAAGACGAAGCGTTAGGGTCCTTAATGCAGGCAGTTTCTACTAAATGAATGACCTACGTCGCATGTAGCAGGTGGCCTGTACCAGATGAGTGAGTTTGCTGCTGTGTAGCTGGTTATTCTGCTCCGTCGCCGTTTCCACCACCACTATACAACGGTACAGCGTCAAGCCTAAAATGAGCGGACGCCATAAGTGCACTCCAGCGCGTGACGAAAGAGACGGAATAATTAAAAGCGTACGTCTTTACATGATATCCATACAAACCGTGAGCTTATTTACATTGCAAAGTAGGATTGCACCCATGTAACTTGGTAAAATGAATGCTTTGCTCAGAGTAAGCGGTTTCGGGATTTGATAATCTGTTCTTTAGAACCCAGAGAATTTCTTGATAAGGTGGGACCTACTGAGACTTTGTACAATTGCGTAGGCGGCGGTGTCTTGTTTGTCAGGTTTCATCAAACTGGCTGTTTGATTCAGTTAACGAAGTCACCACGCTGATTCACACACTGGTTCGCCATACCATCTGGAGAAACATTCGACTTCATGACGGGTGCAGTGGTGTTTTCGCAGATGTTCTCACTAGATGCATGTTTTCGAGTTATCGCAAGGGGCCTTGTCCAAATAATTATCGAGATTCCATTATCGTTGAGCACTTGACTTGAGTCTAAGCTTGTTTGAAAGTCGAGTACAACCACGCGTATTGTATCCGAAGTGACAGAGTCCTAATGATTTGATGAGTCAAGGAACTGCAAACCCATCTGGTTTATATGAACCCTAGGATTCACTAGGCAATTGGTGCAGCTTACTCGCGCTGTTGAGATAGTACCTTAGTAAATAGCCTCCACCCATTCGGATAACAAATCTTGCATGGTGATGTACCTCACTCGTTCTGACCTCACGTCAGTCTGCACATCTGTCTGCACGTATGCATGTCAGTCTGTCTACTTTAATGGGAACATAACTGCGATGCAATAGCAGCAGTTGTGCACCACTTGTACGTTCGTCCGCCAAGGCGATGCCAATATTTTTTACCACAGTAAACCCTTTACGTAACGGTAAGTTCAGTGCTACCGCTTCATATCGGTCAGTACAGAGCCCACAGGCATCCAGATTTCCGCGAAACATCCTGTCCTCAAACACTGACCGGAAAGTATCGATCGTTCAAGTGTCCCTAGTCTGCGACTCATCGCGTGAAGTGCTGTGCAACTTGCGGTACGCAGACGCCGCACTTGTGTGCCTAGTGCCTCATGCGAGATCCGATTGAATCTCCGGACTGCCGTTAGTATTCCTCGGGCTTTTCTCAGGGCGCGCAATGTGTGGAAATCTACGGTGCGTCCATGACAATCGGTAGACACATCCCGGCCACACGGTAGTACGTCAACCAATCAAGCGATGCGCACAATGTGTCGGAATGGCAGCAGTATTCTGAGCAAGCACTGAGTCTTTCAATTTCCTGCTGCTTTGCGTTTTATCCAAAACTTTAAATGTTGGCTGCAGTAACCTCAGTCCCAGTTCTGGTGAACTATACAGTGAGTGTCGATTGCCCTTCAGTAGATTCCAGTGACGGTTCTGTGCTGTTGACGACCGTTTGTGGATACACTTGTCTCTTTCATGATCCACAAGCGAATGGCGTGCATGTATGACGTAAATGGACAGTGTCCGTTTCACGCGATAGGCTAAGTTGCGTCATTGGTGAAGCTCACACACACATCAGCACTGTGAATCTCCCACCACAGTTCAAAGGTGTGTACATGGTTGATAATTAATTTATTGAAGAGGATCTTAATGAATTCGACCAAGTTGCTTGATGATAAGCACCCTGACTGAGTTCTTGTGACAGTCGGCTGCACATAACTTGTACTTAACACATTGCAAAATCGGCAACGTGTTAGACAGGCACTGGGCATTGTTGATATGTCTACAGTGTTTAAAGTGGAGGTTTACTGTCTGCTTTGTTGTTGTGATGAGAACCATCCTTTTATATATATATATATATATATATATATATATATATATATATATATATATATATATATATATATATATATATATATAGAGGCTGAGTGCCTCAACTCATAAGAGTAAGAAATAGATTGAAAAGGAACTAACTGTTAGGGTACAAGAGTCTCACTGGAAATGCGCCATTGAGTGCGGTCCTTTGTCCATATCATTTGCAATCAGATGTTGTTATGGTCCATTTGTCTCTAACCCTGGAGTCGGGTAAGCCCGGCAACTTCCAGCTTCAACCTTTGCGTCTTAGTGCGTTAGATCCAAGTTTTACATTGCCCTACATTTCGTCGCTTTCACCCCAAGCCTATGATCGCTAACAACGTTTGTCTTGGTAGTGGCTGATTAGGCATGCGGAGCACATGCTAAAGCCAACGAAGCCTCCGCAGTGAAATGACCTTATCAATCGGTCAGCGGAGTTCGTTAGATCTGAGGACTCGATGACGGACTTCCTTATTACTGATGTGATGCTACCATCGAACACCGGTAATGCTTCGCAGGCAGCGGTGCTCGAAGGGCGGTAGTCGCAGAACCTCGCTTTTGCGTACGGGTCAGTTCTCCCAGCCGTACAGCAGAATTGCTTGTACCGTAGCATTGTAGACGCGTCCCTTAAGAGTGAGACTAAGGTCACGAGAATGCCACAGGTGACGAAGGTTAGCGAAAGCTACTCTGGCCTCAGAGACACGCAGGGAAATCTCATCTGTCAAACCGCGAATACTAAGACAACTCCGAAGATAAATGCATTTGTCGACCACTTCCAGCGGATGCCCCAAATGGGTGAGAGAAGGACGTGCACTTAACCAGTCCTGTAATCTTTTACCTTACCTTTGGAAGGGGGCAAAGGTCAAGCCAAATTGGAGGCGGACATCTCCAGTTAGAGCAGCACACGCTAGGCGGCTTGGGAGGACTCGCAAATCCCAGCGATGTTATCGGCGTACTCTAAGTCCCGAAGGCGGTCACCAGGGAGCATTTGAACACCGCAGAACTCAGAGTTATCCAGGGCATTATACACGATCTCTTCCATGGAGAAGTTGAACAAGAGTGGAGTGGCTGGGCAACTCTGTCTAACACCGCTATGGATACTGAAGGGGGGATATCGCCGTATGATCACATGCGGCCCGAAGTTTGATACTAGATGTCACGGAGAATGCTGATCTACTACTCAGGTACTCCCCACTTCAGTAAGCAGTCCCAAACAGCCGCTCTGTCAGCAGAGTCAAACGAGGCTCAAATGTTCAAGAATATGACTATACTTGGTCGGGTTAACGTATGACGATGTTCAAGTATCTGGCGGATCGTGAAGATGTTATCGAGGCAACTGTGACCCGGGCCAGATCCAGCTTGTTGTGCACGCAGGTGCTGTTCCCGTATGCAATTGAGCCTCCGCAAGATTAAGGCAGCGAGCAGTTTGGATGCGACACAAATGAGACTGATGCCACGACAGTCGAAGTAAATGGTCCAGTCTCCTTTTTTGTAAATATGTACAACGTGCTGAAATACGCTGAAAGTTGACTCCATTATGAGTGCAGTCGAATTGTAAGGGCTTGTAGAATATTCACTTCGCTGCATTTTCGCAGTCCTTCAACAATTTATGGCACAGTTTATTACAAACTTCCAACCGGCAACCGCGAACGTACGAAGAAACTTTTCAGATAGCTGTCATCATTATCATCATCGACGTAGTGATAAGCATTATGTCCTGGATCTTAAATTTCTAAGTATACCAAGTGATGTGTTGTGTTTGCCCATAGTCGGAGCAAATGTTCATGTGTGATACAGCACAGAACGATAAACTGTTAACGGTATCTGAACTGATGCAGCAACAAATGACCTAGTTTAGAAAACTCTGCACGGCAATTTTCACCTGTGACTGAAGCTCTGTGCTACTTAACAACCGCGACTGGGAGTGCAGTTTCTGTGATTTCACAGCGTTAAGTGGCATGCAGTTTCTATGCTGCGGCCTAACTGCGAGAATTCTCTCCTGGTGATTAGGGTGAAAACACCTCCATAGTCTGGGTAAAAGCAGCCTCATACGAAAACCTAGGTATTGATAACATTGAAAAACCAGACGATCAAGCAGGGTTTGTAACACGAGAAAGTTCACGTGCTTGAATAGGCCAACAAACTAGATTACTCGGTCATGTAGCAAACCGCCTATATTGCCTCTCCACAGAAATACGTC